GAGCCACAGCCCTGGCCCCTACCTTTGTACTCTTTTATGCCAAGAATTTTACTTAATATAAGTACAACAACAAGGTAAATAACTATATGAGGGCAAGAAGGGGATGATACTTAGAAAAGAGAATTAACTTTGTTGGGATTTGAGGGAAACAATTTTCTGGTTCCATTGCTTTCTGAACTGTTTTTAAATGAAGATTTACTAGGTTTTATACTCAGTTCTGGAAATGGGAAAATCCATAAGTATTGGCATAGAAGTCTGAAATCACTTGCTATACTTGGAGAAGTATAGCCAATTGATACTGTTTATGTAAATTCTGTGATATAAGAAATGTCAGGTTGAAGAGGTATACCAAGGCAAATGCTTATGAGTACATAGTAAAGTGTTTTTTTTATCTTTATTTTTATTTATTTATTTTTTTATGTGGTGCTGAGGACCGAACCCAGGGCCTCATGAATTGGAGGCGAGCGCTCTAGTGCTGAGCTACAACCCCAGCCCCATAGTAAATGATTTTCAGCAGGGGTATATATAATCTGGTTTGTAATTTAGGACACTACCTTGGCTGCAATATAAAGGAGGGAGATTCAACATTTGTTATATTATTCTCCCTTTTTCATTTTAAAAAACAAGTTGTAATGTTGCTCTTTTATTGGGGGGAAAACGCTGTTGATACATGTATTTATATATATATATTTATATATATATATCTATATCTATATATATCTATATCTATATATATGTAGATATATATATATAGACACACACACACTTTATTATATAGAGAGCTTCCTAAAAGTGATTACATATATATTACATAAAGTTTCCCATGTTAAACTAAAACTACCATTTTTGAGTAAACAGTTCAGTGGAATTAAGTGTATTCACATTTCGATATTGTTTGAATATGAAGTGTTTGGCAAAAACTCCTGTGTTGCCAGGACTGGTGGTGCACAACTGTAATCCCAGCAACTCAGGAGGCTGAGGCCGGAGGATCGTGAGTTCAAAGCCAGCCTCAGTAACTGAGAGAGACCCTAAAGTGCTGGGGACGTGGCTCAGTGGTTCAGCACCCCCAGATTCAATCCTTAGTACAAACAAAACCCTCCTGTGTTGAAGGCTTGTTCCACAATTTAGCAGTGTTAAAAGGTCAAGCTTTTAAAGAAATGATTGGATCATGAGGTCTCTAGACTCATCAGTGGATTGATGATCTGATGAATTACTCATTTGAATGAACTATTTGGAGGTGATGGAAACTGTAGGAGATGAGACCTAATTGGAGGAAGCAAATCACTGGGGGCCTTTTTTGTTTGTTTGTTTTAACTTTATTTTGAGACAGGGATCTCACTAAGTTGCTGCCCTGTAAGAATGTCACTTCAGCTCTGTCCCTCCTTCCCTCTCTCTTTAGCTGCTGTGAGCTGAGCAGCTTTCCTCTGCCATGCCCTTCTGCTATGATGTTTGACCTCATCTAAGGCCCAAAGTAATGAGCCAGATGTTCATGGACTGAAACCTCTGTAACTGTGGGTCAAAATAAATCTCCTTTAATTTGGTAATAACTATTCTTTAACTTATTCATGTTGAGTATTTTGGTCATGGTAATGAAAAGCTAACACAACATTTTTTTTGTAGCCATCGCCGAACACTATGTTTCCCCAATGTTTTTTCATCTTTTCATACTGAAACTCCTGTACCCATTAAACAATAACTCACCATTTTTTACTCTTTCCAGCTCCTGGCAAGCAATATTTCACTTTCTATATGAATTTGACTATTCTGTGTTTCTCATATAAGTGGAATCATGCAGTACTTGTCGTTTTGACTACATATTTCACTTAGCATAATGTCTTGAAGATATTGTAGCATCTATCCGAATTTCTTTCCTTTTTAAGAATTAATAATATTCCTCTGTGTGTATCACCTTTTGTTCATCCATTCATCTGTTAATGGACACTTGATTTTTTTTCTTTTGACTATTTTGAATGATGCTACTCTGAGCTTGGTTGTACCAGTATCTCTTTCAGTCCCTGCTTTCAATTCTTTGGGTATATACCTAGAAGTATAATTGCTGATTCACATAGTCATTTTTAATTTTTTTAGGAACTGCCATATTGTTTCCATAGTGGCTGCAACATTTGACATTCCCTCCTACAGCTTACAAGATTTCATTTTCTCCACATCCTCCCTTAACACTTCATTATTTTATGGATACACACACATTGTCCTACAGGGTGTGAGTGATATRGTATGTGCATGTGTGTTTGTAGTACTGGAGATTGAAACTGGGTTCTATACCATTGAGCTACATCCTTAGCCCTCCATTCCCTTCCTTTTTAACTTTATTTTGAGACAGTTTTTATGAGTTGCTGAGGCTGGCCTTGAACTTGCAATCCTTCTTGCTCTACCTCCTGAGTAGCTGAAATTACAGGTGTGTGCCTTTGTGCCCAGCTATCTCATGTAATTTTAATTTGCATTTCCTTAGTAGTTAGTGATCGTCACCATCTTTTCCTTGCTTATTGGTCATTTGAGAAATGTCTATTTAAATCCTATGCCCATTTTTAAATTGGATTTCTTTTTTGTTGTAGGAATTCTTTCTATATCTTGAGTGTTGTCAGAAATAGGGTTTGCAAAATGTTATATCCCATTCTTTGGGTTGCTTTTTCACTCTGTTGATTGTGTCCTTTGATGCCCCAAATTTTGAGGTAGTCCAGTTTATTTTTTATTTATTTGTTAAAGCAGGACTAATTGCTTATTCAGCACACTTATGCATAATGCTTAGTAATGGCAAAATCTTATTAGCATAGGAAATGGTTAACCTTTTTATTCTCACTGGTAGAAAGACAAATTTCTTATTCATTAAGGTCTAGTTTTAAAATGGATTAACAAAGGAAAACAAAATGTTTTATTGTTTTATGCTACCTAGATAAGCTTTTGGAATGAGACAGTAGTAACAATAGCCATGACTCAGTGCTACTGTGGTAGAACAAGTTTTGTAAGAACTTGATAACTAGGAATCTGTCAGGAAGACTTATTTATTCCATTTCTCAGAAGACACTTAAGCAAGATCTTCTCTGACCACTTTTGCACTATCCCAACTTGCACGATGGTTCAGTCTCACCCTTCCCCTTTTCTATTTTTATTTGTAACATTTTTGTATGACTAGACATCATAATATTTGTTTATTTTTTATAGTCTTCACTGCTATCTTCCCAGTGCTTAGAATAGTACCCTGTGAATATTTGATATAGAATAACCTCTAAGTTTTCTGGCTACAAAACCTTCCAGAACAAGGATGAGGAGGAAAGGGTACATTGTTCGTAGAATTACAAATTAATACAACTGCTTTGGAAAGATTTGAGATTCCTCAAAAGACTAGGAATGGAACTTCCACGGAACCCAGCTGTCCCCTCCTTGGTATTTATTTTAATCAGCTTTTTCACCACTGTGACCAAAAGACCTGACAAGAACAATTTTAGGGGAGGAAAATCTTATTTGGGGCTCACAATTTCAGAGGTCTCTGTCCATAGACAGCTGGCTCCATTCTGCAGAGCTCGAAGTGAAGCAGAATTCTCATCATGGCAGAAGGGTGTTACAGAGGAAAATCACATCAGAATGCAGAAAGAACTCTGCTCATCAACCCCAAAATATATAACCCCTATGACCCACCTTCTTTAGCCACACCTACCTGTCTACAGTTACTACCAGTTAATCTCTTTTAGGGGATCAGTTTGCTGATTTGGTTAAAACTCTCAAAGGGCTGTGGATGTGGCTCAAGCTGCAGCGTGCTTGCCTGGCATGCACGGGGCGCTGGGTTCGATCCTCAGCACCACATAAAAATAAAATAAAGATGTTGTGTCCACTGAAAACTAAAAAATATTTTAAAAATTCTCTCTCTCAAAAAACTCTCAAAGCCAAATCACTTTACCACTAAAATGTCTTCCATTGTCCCACAACGAGCTTTTGGAAGATACCTAAACCATAACAGTATTTATCCAAAAGAACTAAAATCTGCATACTGTAATGATACTTGCATACCAGTGTTTATAGCAGTGCAGTTCACAATAGCCATGTTAAGAAACCAATCTTCAACAGATTGGATAAAGAAAATGTGGTGTATATATACACAATGGAGTTTTACTCAGCCATAAGAAGAATGAAATTATGTCGTTTTCTGGTAAATGAATGGAACTGAAGAAGCTAAGTGAACTAGTCTAGTCTCAAAAAGTTAAATATTTGCTCTCCCATGGAATATAGAGAAAACGAAAAGGGGGAATTAAAAAAAAAGGGATCTCCTCAAAATAAAAAGGAGAACAACAGAGTAAGAGGAAGGGGATCAAGAAGAAGGGAGGAGCAGAAGGCATGGACAATGAAATCTACCAAATTATGCATGTGTCTATGTATGAATATACTACAATGAATTTCACTTATATATTTATGATGTATTAAAATAATAACAATACAAGGGGGATCAGTAGAGTTAAATAAATGGATCAAGAGTAGGGAAGAGAGGAGGAAAAGGGATGATACTGGTAAATGAGATTGGTCAAATTATGTGTGTGAATGAATATGGAATAATGAATCCCACTATTATTTATAATATGCCAATAAAAATAAATTTTGTTTTTAAGATTACAAGTTTAAAAAAAACAACAACAAATTCTCCAGAAGTATATGCTGATTCCCAGGGTGAAATATGCTTTTGTAACATCATTATACTATCAATTTCTGTTGTCACCTTCTGTTTTACTATTTATCATTTATACATGTTATGAAGTAGATTACATGTTTTGAGTTTTCTTGTGTACAAGGTACTCTTCCAAGATATGAATGGGTATTGAAACATTAACATTTTAGGTTTGGCTTTTTTCGGGGCGGGGGGTGCATACCAACAGTTTTAATAAAAGAGAAAATTATTTTCATTTAAAAAGGGGATTCATGAGCCAGATTGTATTTATAAAGGTAGATTAGTTTAATATTTTCCTTAGATTTAACTAATATGAACTTGTTTCCAGATATTTTCTAAATTTGGAACAGTCTTGAAGATTATCACCTTTACAAAGAATAATCAATTTCAAGCCTTGCTTCAGTATGCTGACCCAGTGAATGCACATTATGCCAAAATGGTAATTATGATTATTTTTCATTTTTCAATAATTAATCACTTTCTAAAGGAAACCATCATGTGTTCTCTCTTCTAGTTTACTGTGTGTGATTTTTTAAATAGTGATAAAATATATAAAGTAATATCTACCATTTTAACCATTTTTAATCGTATAATCGCATGTGTTCCCTCCCCTAGTTAAAAATTATTATTTTCCTCATAGAAATGGTTCCTGCCCCTCAGGACTCTTGAAACTCTTTGCTGTTTGTTATGTTTAGAGTTTAAGCACAGTACTCCTGATGTAATCTAAGAGAATAGGTTTTTGCCCTTTGTACTTCATTTAGTTCTATTAAATCAGCTAAATATTGATTTCACTACTTTTAAAAATTTTTCAGCATTCATTTCTGTTGAGCTCTAATTTGGTGAAAACATTATCTCAAGAATTATGCTGTTGTCAATTCATGTTTTTTTAAAGTACACAGATACTTGATAGTATAACAAATTTCACATTAATTTGCTTATATTACATACATCTGTTGAGATCTATCCCCAATGCTATTCTGTCTTCTGTTCCTGAATCATTTCTAATTTCTGCTCAAATTAGAGACTAGAGACTAAGGCTTATAGTTCTTTTGTATATCATGCACTGTCTAGCCCTAATTAGGAAGATAGCCTTATTGCATATATTATTTTGTGTACCATTTTAATAGCACAATGACTTTTGTTAATGACTTTTATTGTAAATCAGAGTTTTTAATGTATTTGTTTCATTTGTATGTGCTTTTGGTTTCTGGTATCTGTTTTTATAAATTCAAGTTATAGAAATCACAAAAATCACAAGCAGTGACAGTTATTCTGTTGGTAAGATTTTATTCTTGCAAAGGGAGGGATTACTGATTTTTGATCACAATTGACTCCAAATTTTCCTCAGCTCATTGTTAAAGTATTACAGGATAAATTCACAAAAGAATAAGTGGTAGATAATATTTTGTATATTATATTTCTGATAAATACAAATTACAAAGGCTTTGTTTCATCTTAATCTATATAAATTATAGTAAAATAATTAAGGTGAAATGTGAAATAGGAATATCTTAAACACTCATTTATGTTTATCATGTTTAGAGTTTGTTGTAGGCAGAATTGCCGTAGTATTTCTTTTTTTATTGTTGGTCGTTCAAAACATTACATAGTTCTTGATATATCATATTTTACAGTTTGATTCAAGTGGGTTATGAACTCCCATTTTTACCCCGTATACAGATTGCTGAATCACATCAGTTACACTTCCATTGATTTACATATCAGCTTAGTATTTCTATGTTCTTCTCTTTTGTTTGCTCCTACCATAGGTAAGATGGATGTTATTTTCTTTTCTTTTCTTTTTTTTAAGAGAGAGTGAGAAAGAGAATTTTTTTTTAATATTTATTTTTTAGTTTTCGGCGGACACAACATCTTTGTTTGTATGTGGTGCTGAGGATCGAACCCAGGCCGCACGCATGCCAGGCGAGAGCGCTACCGCTTGAGCCACATCCCCAGCCTCAGATGTTATTTTCTTTATACAAATATATATTGAGGCTCAGCATCTTTTTTTCTCCCTTAGATTCATAGTGACAGGGATGAAAGTAAACCTAGTTCTTTGGCATTTTTTTCATTGCTCTCTGCTTTATACCTGATTACCACTCATTGTCACAGTAGAGGTTATTTGATTCATCAGTGGTATTGTCTTGCAAAAACATCAGTCCCTTTCTCACGTGCTTTAGGCTCTGGATGGCCAGAATATATATAATGCATGCTGCACTCTGCGTATTGACTTCTCCAAGCTCACCAGCCTTAATGTGAAATATAATAATGACAAAAGCAGAGACTTCACTCGCTTAGATCTTCCCACTGGTGATGGCCAGCCATCTCTTGAACCCCCTATGGCTGCTGCTTTTGGTGAGTAGTTCCTTTTTGGGCCACAAAGCAAGTTTTCTGAAGTTATAAGTTTCATTTATTAATCTGTTAAGTTAGCCTTCTTTGTTTTTTGTTTTCAGAATTTCTAAAGGAAAGCAAGAATCTTGGAACAAATGTAACCATTCATTAAATCTATTTTTTAAAAAATATTTAATTTTATTTGTAGTTGGACACAACACCTGTATCTATTTATTTACTTATTTAAGCTTTAGGTGGACAGAATATCTTTATTTTTATTTTTATGCTGTGCTGAGGATCGAACCCAGTGCCTCACGCATGCCAGGCGAGCATGCTACTACTTGAGCCATATCCCCAGCCCCTTATTTATTTACTTTTATGTGGTACTGAGGAATGAACCCAGGGCCTTGCATGTTCTAGGCAAGTACTATACTGCTGGCCACAACCCCAGTCCCTCATTAACTCTTTTTTATTTTATTTTTTTTTAGATGTATGGACCTTTATTTTATTAATTTATTTATACGTGGTACTGAGAATCAAACCCAGGGCCTCACACATGCTAGGCAAGTGCTCTACCACTGAGCCACAGCCTAAGCCCCTCATTAACTCTTTAATATTAGAAAGTTCTATTATTTGTCAAAACAAGTAGATATCTCAAATTGAATTACAATATTTATTTTCTAACATTGATATTACTCATAAGTTATACAACTATTTGCTTCTAATTGATTCTTAAAAATTAAATTGATTTATACTCAGCACAATTTTGCCATAAGTACTCTTGAAAATTATTTTTCCTTTTTAAATAGTGATACTTTAAATCWGTGGCCTTAACTAATCATATGTTTTTCCTGTATTCAAAGACGAGAATTTATCTTGTTTTTTTAAACATTAGAACTAACATTTTGGGCTGGAGTTGGGCTCAGAGGTAAAGCCCTTGCCTAGCATGTGTGAGGCACTGGGTTCTATCCTCAGCACCCCATACAAATAAATAAAGGTATTGTGTTTTGTTTTTAAAAAGAACTTATATCTTTAAGTTTATGTGGTATTGGATTTTTCATTAATAAAAATACAAGCAGTATCACTAATTGAGACCTTAAGTAGTATTTAATCCATCTTCTTTTGTAGGTGAGAAGCTATCAAATGCAGGACCATGTTTATTCTAATAATTAAATATATACTCATGGTGTAATTAATGTTCTGTATTGTGGGAGTAGGACATTTGGAAAATATGGTTAAGAGTTTTGCTTTCTGAATATAAAGTATCACTATTCACATTCTTTTTCATTGTTATTAATAAATCTTTAGTCGTTGCAAAATAATATTTCCATCTTGAGTAATTCATCAGAGAAAAATATGCTTTACATATTGTGTAAAAGTTTCTCTTCTTTGCCTATCACTAATTTTTGACACAGTTCACTATTCCCTCCTTTCTTAGCTTCTGCAACACCACATTCTCCCTACTTTATGCCTTCCTCACTGGTTGATATTTGCTTGCCAGTTTTTTTTTTTTTAATTGATGTGTATTAAGTGTTCTGTGATAGTTATCTCAAATTTTTTTCTTATTTCTCTAATACTTAATGGCTAGCATTCTGCTTTACTCCCTGTAGCCATCTGTATTAGCCACTTGGCTGTGCTTGAAAACTGGCCCTCATCAGCACTTTATGGCAATTAACATTTTTCTAACGTGCCTCAGCAGCAGCTGTGAATCAGCTTTCACAGCACTCCTCCCTCTTGTGATATAGGGCCCTTCGGAAGGTGTTTTGATGTTCTTGTGGCAGAGCGTAAAGAATAAGAGAGCTGGTGTAAACTTTAAATGCCTTTTAAAGCTTCTGTGGCACATGTCATTTCTGCCTTTATTTTTTGCAGAAACATATGATGTAATCAAATCCAGTGTGAATTACAAAGAAATGCATGCTTTTCCTTTTTTTTTTTCTGTTTGTGGTTATTGAACCCAGGGTTTCACACGTGCTAAGCAAACACTGTTTACTGAACTATATCTCCAGCCCTTTTTAAAATTTTATTTTTTGAGCCAGGATCTCACTAAGTTGCCCAGGCTGTCCTTAAACTTTGGAACTTTCTGCCTCAGTCTCCCCAGTCAATGGGATTATGGAGATGGGCCTGCAGGCTTTATTTTGAAGACTTATTAAATCTTCCTTTAATGTACAAATATATTAATGAATGAATGAATGAATCATTTTTACTGATGATCTTGAGCCTCCTTGTGTCTAAGTTTATCAAGGACAGAGATTCATATCTGCTTTGTTCAGTGATTCCTCAGCAGTAAAATAAATAAATAAATAAATAAATAAATAAATAAATAAATAAAGCATATGTTTGTTGGGTGTATTTCAGTATCCTTATTTTATCAGTTATTTTTTCAGTCTGTTTTTTGTACTTTATCTCTGCTGGTTCTGTCCTTGCAGATCTACATTTTCTTGAATGATGCTAAATTACAGCTACATATTTAAGTTAAACAGTTTTTTAGTAAAGAGAGTGAAATTATATGTGCTTTTAACTCCTCTGGAAAATAAAGCTTGAATATTTCTGCTTATAAATATGTTCATCTTCTTGTCATTAAATAATCTAAAACTCTCCCTTTGACTTTTTGCAATGTATATTTTCTAAAACAATTACACTTCTTTTACTTACTCTGTGTGAATTTTATTGTAGATCCTCCTTTCCCCTTTTAAAACTAGATCCTGAGGTACTGTATAATTCACTACCTTTTTCCCCCTATTTATTGGACTCTTCTCTTTTTCTTTTCTGTAGAATATTCCTCTTCCTTCTGCTGAAGTGTACTAATACTCTCAGACTGTGTTTTGGGCTCTCTTCTGTTTTTCTCTTTGGCTTTTTTTAGTGGAGCTCTGATTCGTATGGTTTTCACATCTATTTCAGATGATTACAAATCTGTGTGTTTGCTTGTGATAATTACTCTGAATTTTCTCCTTGTGAGCATTTCCATTTAAATATCTTACTACCACATCAAATTTTACATATTCCAAACCACATTCACTATTTTTCTGCAAGAGCTGACTTATTCTTTGGAATTATCTCCTGTTTTTTGTTAATGATACACAGTCAGTCGACTTCTAGAGAAGATCAGTATTTATTTCATCATCCGGTACACACCAAGCATTATGCTTTTCAGTTACTCTAACTCATCGTCGTGAATCCCTTGTGACTCCTTAGTCCACTTGTGGTACATTTCATTTACACCACTATATGACCCTCATGATATTAATTTCCTGTAATTCAGACTTACATTTTGTAAGCCTCTCAGACAAAGATTTAATCTCATACCTCTTTATGTCATCACAATGCACCACAGATAAGAGTACATTTTAATGAGTGTTTGATGACTATTCATACAGAAAAAAAAATGCTCTAAATAAGGACCAGAAATCTCAGCCTAGTCAAGACTCAATGAACAGCTAAACTATACACTTGATCATTGAACCCAGCTGAAAGTGGTTAGGCCCCCCAAAATGGCAGAGGCTCTTATACCTTAAAGATCACCTGTTGAACAAATATTTATTCTGTAATATTTTTCTTTTTCTGTAATAAACTCTAATGTACTCATTTTATATTGCTTTGGTTAGCATATTCATAGAAGGTAGTATATTTATTTTAGCTTCTCTTTCTTCCTCACTAGGTGCACCAGGTATAATCTCTTCACCATATGCAGGGGCTGCTGGATTTGCCCCAGCCATTGGATTTCCTCAAGCTACAGGTGAATCTTTTAAAGTTGATTTTGAAATAATTTTCAAATGATTTTCCAGGAACTTAGCAAGATGAAAAATGAAAATTTTGAAGAATGTAGAATAAAAGCATTGGGCATCTGGGCGTGGCAGCACCTGCCCCATAATCCTGGTGGCTTAGGAGGTGGTGGCAAGAGGATGGCAAATTCACAGTCAATCTTAGCAATTTAGTGAGGCCGTAAGCAATTTAGCCAGACCCTGTTTCTAAATAAAATATAAAAAGGTGCTGGGGATGTGGTTAAGTGCTTAAGCACCCCTGGGTTCAATCCTCACTACCAGGAAAAAAAAAAAAAAAAAGCATTAGGCATATCAAGCACAGAAGTGACTGTATAGTACACAACTTCCTCCTATTTATAAGTAATTTTCTCTGGCTCCAGTTTGAATTTCACTTGTTCCATTATATGTTCTGCATCACTTATACTTTCCATTTGCACAGGTAACTATAGGTTGGCTACATTAAATGATTTTTAATCAAATTATTGCATAAAACGTATGAGCTGCTTAGGTCATTAACAATAGGCTTATTGATTATGTGTTGAATAGATCTGAACTTTGTGTCTTCAGTTCCTTTGAAGGCACTGAATACACAGTATACCCTCAGTAAATATTTTATTTAATAAATATTTACTATTCAGTTTGAGAAATCTCTTTTTAATGATGCACTTAGTGTTTTGTTTTTTTTTTTCCTTTCTGCTTTTTATTTATTTATTTATTTWTTTGCAGTGCTAGGGATTGAATCCAGGGCCTTGCATACGCTAGGCAAGTGCTCTCTACCTCTGAACTAAATCCTCAGCCCTCATTGAGGGACTTGGGGATTACCATGGAAGGTTATGCATGTTATTTATTTCAAAGGATTTTTTTTTCTCTTTAGATAATGGAAATAATTAAGAAATGGAAGTTGATTAGTACCTTGATAATGGCTCATTCTTTTATAAAGGGTAAACAAAATGAATTTGATCACAACTTAAGGAAAAAGAGAAAATGCTGTATGGTTTTATCTCTGTAAAGAAAACACTGAAGTTGGTAATTTAGGGAAATGACATGCTATAAAGCCAATTTTATACATCATATTTTCATATTCTAGCTAATTCATGAATGTAGCTATGTTTTAAATTTATACCCTAATATTCCAAATCTGGGATTTTGAACTATGGTCTCTCTGATGGAGAGGATAGTGTTAACCAAAAAAAAAAAAAAAAAAAAAGTGATATGAAGTTGAGTTTTAAGTTTATCTAAGTTATTGTTCTGCATAATTTGTTGAAAACATAGTTTTTATTTATTTGAAGCTCCCCAAAGCTTAATTAATAAACATTTGGAATCAGCAATGTGTTTTCCCTCCGTTTAGGTATTTCTTTTAGAGACGCTTTGCATATAAAACGCAGTAGTAGATATTTAGGAAAGATAAAAAGTGATTAAAGAGAGGGCTTCTGACTTAATACTTTTACAGTGTGGTATATAATACACACACAGTAAGCTGTACTCTTAGCTAATACATAATAGAGACAGTTGCAAACGTTGCAGTAATGAATTGGAGGGAATGGAGAAAGGGTTTTTCTGTGTGGATTTCATGAAAAAGCAATCAACCTGAGAATTTAGTTGCATAGCCAATATGGATAATGGTAGTAAAGACCTTCTTAGATTCTCAAGAGGAATAGGCTGAATGTGAAATACATTGCAATTTAATTRCACAGTTTTAATAAACTAGTGGTCAGACTGTTAAAAGAATTTTGAGCTTAAAGAATCAACAAATTGGGCCTGGGGTTGTGGCTCAGTGGTGGAGTGCTTGCCTAGCATGTGTGAGGCACTGGGTTCAATCCTCAGCACCACATAAAATAAAGATATCGTGTCCAACTACAACTAAAATATATGTTTTTTAAAAATCAGCAAATTGGGCTGGGGTTATAGCTCCATAGTTGAGCATTTGCCTACCGTGCACAAAGCCATTGGGTTTGATTCCAGAACCACCAAAAGAAAACAACAAATTAAAGAATTAGTTCAAATATAATGTCAGTATTACAGTATTATAAAACATTCAATGATTTCAGAATATCTAGGAGAGTAGAGAGCTGTGAAACAAATTCTACAAAAGAATATTGAATTCTGTAAATCTATTATTTTAATATTTATTTAGAACTTAATAAGGTGACAAAATTTAGACTGGCATATAGAACTACCCAGCACCTCTTTGTGGCTTCTGCTGAAGGACTTTTAAAAAATACTTTCCTGATTTTATGGTATATGTCAATGTGAAAATTGCATGCTTTTACTAGAAAGGTGCTTTTGAATATATTTATTTTGGGATAGCAGGAGTGCTTGTAGTTGATAGACTGACCCTCAGAGAAATCTAACAACTTTTTTTTGAAGACCAATGATTTCAGTTACTCTGTCAAGTATGGTAAAGTACTGAGTAAATGGTTTCAACAAATAAGGGACTCAGCTGCCAGACAGACTCTATGGGGCAGAAAATGGGCCTTTGATATATTCTTTATGGGTAGCTTGACACCCTTTCTTCCATGTTTGCTTTTTTTTTTTTTATTGGTTGTTCATAACATTACATAGTTCTTAATACATCATATTACACGGTTTGATTCAAGTGGATTATGAACTCCCGCTTTTACCCCGTATACAAAT